CCAGCCGCAGGGACCAGAGCGAGGCTGCGGCCGCCACAACCGGAAGCGGAAACCCTCTCCTACCAGGAGGAGGGGCGGGAGTGCTTCAGACTCCGCCCCCAGCGGAACGCGCTGCGTGCGGCCATGCTGGGATGTCCTATTGTACTCTGGGGTTCGTTTATGGACTAGGGCGCAAAATGGAAGTAGTTCTCCACGTAAAGCATAGTAAAGACACTTGCAATAATCAAGCGCGTTTTATTTCAGTACCTTTAAGAACTGACGAAAGAGAGAACATGGACTTCTCCCTAAGCATCCAATTGGTTCGGCCCAAGCTAAGATGGCGGTCCCTAGGTTTCCCGCACTTCACCAGCCGGGGAGCCCAGTCAGTTTGCAAGCCGGCCCGCCTTTCTTGAGAGGAAGCATGCGCGACCTGCCGGAGCTGTAGAGCGAAGCATTTTGGGAGTTGAAGTCTCTTGCTCCGACCCCTCGTCCGTCTAGGATTAAGGTTTCAGCAGCACATTTTTGTCCGCTCAAACTTCGAGTCTGAAACAAGCGAACGGAAGTTGGGCCCCGGGAGTGGAGTCGAGGAGGTGACGATACTAGTTTTCTAGAGACTGACACCCAATTCCTGCTCCATACAGGAGTCCTATCAATAGCTGTGCATCCGGAATCGTCTTTTCTCCCGTCGGGGCCCCGCCCCCCACGCCGCCCTCCACCCCGGTTCTCGCCCGGGCAGCCACCCAAATCCGCCGCCGGGCACCTTTACCCCGCACAGCCGATTGGCGTCATCTGCGTTGAAGACCGCCCAAGGCTCTCCTTTGTTCACCACGGACAGCCAACCTCCCCTCTGGACATCCAAGTTCCTACGTCACTTGGACAACCCATCGAGCTCCTCTACCTGTTTCTGCCCTGCCCCCTCAGATTCCCGATGCGCCCACGCACTGCAAGTTATTCCTGGAATGTGTCCGCGTGGCCTCCCTCCCTTCGCACTGGCGGTTCCTTCTCTTACTGTTACCTCCTGGACTGGCTGCCTTACAGAGGAGTAATCCAGGAGTCCTTTTCTCTGAGGATCTTCCCTCCCTTGAGTTCCCGCAGACCTAGGCATCATCCTTCAGCAGCCTAGCTGGTCCAACCCTGCCTCCTCCATCAGAGTGTCCTAGCGGACAGGGCTGGGTCCAGTGGTCACCCTGTCGCCCGGAGGCCCTGCTAAAAGTTGGCGTGTGTAAGTGCTACTGAGGGGAATTCAAGTGTGAGTCTCACCTTTGATGGGGGAGAGGTATAAGGGCTGGAACGAGGTGAGGAGGCTGGGTTATTGTGGTCCTACCAGCTGTTATCCCAGAGCTGCCTCAGAACAGCTGCCTGGCCCAGGGATGGCCCTCCCCACCCGCTGCAGCTTACCCGCACCTCTGCTCCCACAGAGGCCATTTCCTCTCCTGTGGGATGGGATGGGGGAAGGGGGGTGCTGGCTGCAGATTTACAGGGATGGCCTCAGGGAGGTGGCCATGACCTTTTTTGGGCCTCATTGATAGACGGGCCTGTGGCATGTGATCGTGATACTTGGGCGTCTACAGTCATTGGTGTCCTCAGGCTGGTCATTCCTCCTCTCTGGGCCTCTGTTTCCCCACCTGTGGACTGAGGAAGTTAGAGAAGATGATCCTACTGTTTTGTGAAGCCCCCTTTCAGGAAATGACTAGCCTTCCACTTAGCTCTTGGACCATGTCTTTTTGGTTTTCGTGGCTCCCTTTTTCCCACCTTTATTCACGTTCATTCGGCTTATAGCTATTAATCACTTGCTATGAACCAGACAATTGTGCTAGGTGCTGGGGATGTGGTATGAGCAAGACAGATGCCAGTTCCTTATAAAGCTCACCTTCCAAAGTGAGAAACATATTATGCACAGGTAAATGAATTTTAAAAAGTAATTTTGGGTAGCAGTAAGTGCTATGAAGGAAAAAGATAAGTAGCTGCCAAGAAGAATAAAAGAGGGGAGAACATTAGCCTGAGTGGTTCAGATGGTTGCAATGAGAAGGGAACAGTAAGTACAAAGGTCCTGAGGCAGGAAAGAGCTTGATAAATTTGAAGAAGGAGGCCAGGGTGGCTGAAACACTGAATGAGCTGGGGAAGGTAGGAGATACGGTGGGAAAGGTGGACAGAGCACTCAGGCCATGGTAAGGAGTCTAGGATTTCATCTGAGAAGAGTGGGTATTTCCCAGGACTTAGCCCTCACACCCTTCTTATGATCTCAGCGCCTCCTACAGCATTATTCTTCCACCCAGTTCCAGCCTCCAGCCATGACCTCATTCAGAGGGCTTGCCCAGGCACACACATACACCCCCTTTGGACTATGTAGACACAGTTGAGACCCAACATCTGCCATCTCCCAAGCCAGCCTGGTATAGATCTCTGGTCCCAAGAAGTTCCCAGTCTCCAATGTCCACTAATTATGGAGCCTCCAAAGAGCAGCTCAGTTATCTTTCACATTTACTCTTCCTGACCCCCTACATCACAAGTCTCAAGCTAGACTTCAGACAACAGCAGCAACAACCACACTTAAGATGTTGACAGTACTTGCCCTATGCCACACTGAATGTTCATCATCTAATTTAATTCTCGCTTCAGGCTGAGGAGGTAGGAACTAAAAGTATCCCATTGTACAGATGAGGAAACTGAGGTTCAGAGAGATTTTAGGACATGTTCAGGGTCATATGCCAAAGATGGAACTTGTATTTCAACTTGGATCACTGCACTAAGAACCTAAATGTATCAGCTCTCTATTGCTGTTTAACAAATTCTCCCAGAACAGAGTGGCTTAAGTCAATAATCATTTATTTGCTTGTTTGTGAGGATTGGGAGTTTGGACATGTCTCAGCTGGAATAGTGCTTTTCTGTTGCACATGGTCTTGCCTGGGCTTACTCCTGCACTTGCAGTCCGCAAGTTGGCAAACTGGCTGGTCCTATGTGGCCTCATTCACAAGCCTGGCTGCTGACTGGGCCTTTGGCTTGAGTGCCTTGGCTCTCGTCCATGTGGCTTCTCCAGCAAGCTAGCTCAGGCTTCCTTACACGGCGACCCCCGAAAGGAGGAGAACAAAGGCAGCAAGGCCCCTCTTGAGGCCTAGGCTCAGAAGTGCTATAGGAACACTGTTACTGCTTTTTATTGATCAAAGCCCGTAACACTGCCAGCTCACATTCAAGGAGAGAGGAAATAGACTCCATCTCTTGATGGGGAAAACATCAAGTCACATTGCAACCAGTCATGTACGGGGATGGGTGGAATTGTTGTGGTTATCTTTGCAAGCAACATACCACACTAAGTGACCATATGTATAGGACTGGCTAAATAAATTACGGTATAGCTGTACATGGAGCTGTTGGCAATGATAAGAGCTAATTTTTTTTTTTTTTGAGCACTTACTATGTGTCTGACACTTCACAATAGGCCATACATACATTAGTTCATTTAACCCTCACCAGGAAAAATGGCTTTCACTTCTTATAAAGGAGATTAGTGGAACAATTGGTGAAATCTGAGTAAGGTCTGTATATTAGATACCAGTACTGTATCAGTGTAAAAATTCCTGATCTTGGTTTTTGTAAGAGATTGTCCTTTTAGGAAATACACACTGGTTTTTAGAGATAAAGGGACTCACATCTACAACTTACTCTATAAAAGTTTAGGCGGAAGGAGGAAGAAAGAATCATAAAGCAAAGACGGTAAAATCTGGGTGATTGGTATTTGGGTATTTTTTTTGTATCTTTTCTGTAATGGAAGGAGAGCAAGTAGAGACACTGAGGTAGTGGGCACAACTTTTTGAGGGGTTTTGCTTTAGGACTGAGAATGGGGTGGTAGGTGGAAAGCAAAGTGGGGTCAAGAGAAGTTACTTAAATGCAGAAATATTAGCATATTTTTATGTTGATGAGAATGATTCAGTAGATTGGAAATGATGATGCAAGAGGGAGAAGACAGAGAAAGATGGGATCTATACACAAGATGGGACCATGGCTTGGGGCACAGATAGTTGGTCCATGGTCACAGAGGAGGGGCCAGAGTATTTATAAATGGAAGCTTTCAGAAATGTTTTCTGATTGCTCTAATTTTCTCTGAGAAATAGAAAGCAAGGTCTTCAGCTAACTAAGAGTGAGAATGGGGGAGAAGGTGATGGAGGTTTGAGGAGAAGACATGAAGGAATTGCCTGGGGAGAATGAATGGACCGAGGGAACCGCAGTGTAATTGTCAGACCCCATTGGGGCTAGCCACGGGGGACGGAAAGTGAGACCAGTCCACATGGTGGAGTGTTGTTTTTCACCCACATCCCACTGCAGGGGAATAAACACAGAGAGTGGGCGTCAACCATTGGGTGTTTAGCCAGAGGGGGCAGGGGCATCTCTTCTGAGTGTGCAGTGCATGGGGATAATGACTCCCCATGGGCTTTGATCAGGGAGGAGGAAGGTGAGGATATGAGGGAAAAGGTAGTAGGCTCAATGGATCAGAGGTCCCAGTGAGGCTGAAGGATTGTTGGAGTTGGGGTACAGGAGAGAGTGAGCTGGAAAGAGAGGAGGTGATGGACAGGCTTGAAACTCAGGTAATAGCGGGGGGGAGGGGGTGCAGGTAACGAATATGACAGGTCAACTGCCTTGGACTGCCATGGTGGAAAGGCCCCGAGTTAACAGCCAGCCATTGAGCCTTCAAATAACTACAGGCCTGGCCAACATCTGACTGCAACAAAGACCTGCCCAGCTGGTCCTTTCCAACATTCCTGACTCACATAGCAATGAGGGAAAAAGTGGTTGTTTTAAGCCACTAAATACTGGAGTAGTTTGTGATTCAGCAATAGTAACCAAACAGAATTGCTGGTTCCACTTTGGTTTCAAGGGCATATTAAGTCCTAATGCCCTATGGCATGGGTTTTCTGTAATGAATTAACTTCTTCCATTTGGTAGTTGGAGACACCAAAGTTCTGAGAGGTTTAGTGACTTACCTAAACTTGCACAGCTAATGAATAGTGAGTTGGGCTCTGAGCTCAGGCAGTGTGACATGCATAGGCTGTCCCCAGTGCATGGCACGGCGTCTGGCATGTGTAGGCATGCTGAACGGTGACTTGAATTGTGCCTGGGATTCCCTCTGCCTTCCATTTCCCCCAGTTTTCTTCTTCCTTTCAAGTTTTCTTGTACGTCTTAGTCCACATGGTGGAGGAGAAGGGCCATCTTTCTCCTCTGAGTGGCCATTTAGTCTGATAGGTTCTCTTGAGTACCTACTTTAGGGCAGACACTACTCTAGGTTCTCAGTACCCAGAAGAAAACAAATCAGAGTCCCATTGGAGCTCAGCCAAGTGGGGAGAAGATAAACGAATCTATCCTCACAAACTGGGATTATTGCTAGGAGTGATCAGCAGGTGGGCTATGAGAGAGCATAACCGGAAGAGCTGACCTAGCTGAGGGAGGGAGGAAGAGTTTGCCTAGTGAACGCAGCAGGGAGTGAGTCTTTTATGGGCTGACCAAGGAGGAAGAGCACACGGGCACAGGTCTTGAGACAGGAACATGCCTGGCGCATTAAAGGCCTGTGGAGGAGCCCAGTGTAGCTTGAACATACATGGGGAGTGGGGAGTGGAGGGAACATTGTGGGAAATGAGATAGGAGGGGTGGCAGTATCCTGTACACATGTAGGTAGACGAGTTTAGCTTAAGAACAATAGGGAGCTATGGAAGGGTTAATCAAGGGAGCGACTTCATTGGATTTTACATTTATAAAAGAGCTTTGGCTGCTGGGTAGGGAGTGAGAAGGAGGGAAGCAGGAATAGTCTACATAAGAAGGGATGGTGGCATAGAATGGAAGTTATGGAGATGGAGAGGAATGGATCCATTTGGGACCTGTTTTGGAGCTAAAGTCCACCATAGGGAAAGTGAGGTCCAGTGCTTCCAAGGACAGCACCCCTCTTCCAGCTCTCCCAGCCTTGGGGCCTTCAGATACTTCTGCCCTGTGGGGTAACATGTGGGTGGTTGGATTGGGGGATAGGTGGCCAGGAAAAGTGACCCCTGACCTTTTCCTGGTGACCTGTGATATAGAATTAGCCTTTGAAGGAGCCAAGGGGACCTTACCGGGAAAAGGGACCATTGAATCACTCTCCATTTAACCCTGGGCAGCTCACTTCCCCCATATGAGCCATAGTTTCTGCCTTTGCACCTACCACACTTTGGTGACATCACCCCTATTTTACAGATGAGAAAACAACCTCAGAGAGGGGGAGTTACTGTCCCAGGGCCATCCATGAGTAAGTGCCATAGCCAAGATTGGAACCCAGCCAGAACCTGTGCTCTTGACCTCCCAGCTCCCCCATGTGCCCATCCACCCTCTTCTAGGGGGCCTTCAGGCTTAGAGATATTCAACTCACCTAACATGGACTTTTCAGCAGGCCCAGGACATCCAGGGCTGGATGCTGGATTGTTAGAAACATGGGCTTGGATTCTATTTCCAGTCCTACTTGGGGACATTATTCTGTCTGAACCTGTTTCCCCCTCTACACCGCATAGCGCCTGGCAGGGAAACTATGAGAATATAACAATGTGTACATGGAAGTCACTGACCCAGCACAGTGCCTTTTGAGTGTTTGCTGCCACTGTGGTTGTCATTGCAGTATAACTGTGGGTTGAAACCAATATTCCTTTTAACAACAGTTGTAATGCTTTTTTTTCTTTCCAAAATGAAATTCCTGGGTAATATAACCTACTGACACACCTAATTTTCAACATAAATAATATCCTAATTGTAATATACAATAAAATGAAAGTAATTTAGAATAAATGACTATGTAAATATTTGGGCACAGTACATAGGAAACATCACAAAGTAATTGGGAGGTCATGGCTATGGGTGGAATCACCATGAATCTTCCACCTGCATCAGAAGCTTGGGTAACTCAAACACCACAACCTCATGGCTGTGATTGTCCAAAATGCGAGCAGCTCTAGGTGAAGTTCTGAACCGTACACAACCCAGTCCGCCAAGCAAACACATTATATGTTAGAAAAGGCAAAATTATAGAGACAATAAAAAGACCAGTGGTTGCCAAGGATTTGGGGGGTTGAGGGGAGGGATGAAAAATGGAGCACAGGGCATCTTGGGGGCAGTGAAATTCTTCTGTGTGATACTATAATGATGAATACAGGACATTATGCATTTTTCAAAATCCACAGAACTGTGCAACAACAAGAGTGAACCTTAATGTACACTATGGATTTTAGTTAATAATAATGCATCAATATTGGTCCTTCAATTGTAGCAAAGGTATCACAAGGTATTAATAATAGAAGAAAACCGTGTGTGCTGGAGAGAGGGAGTAGGAGGTATTTTGATATTTCTGCACAATTTTTTTGTAAATCTAAAACTGTTGTAAAAAATAAAGTCTAGTAAAAATGAACAAAACCAAACCAGACCCCACACACATAGTGTTTGCATGTGAAACAGAATTTGGTCCCAGGCTTAGATAATTAAAAACAGGGTTTTCATCTATGCCAAATACTAGAGGGAAATTTGAATACCACATAGGACTTGGGACGCGTTGGGGGTTGTCTGTACCCCTGCTCCCCTCCTGCTATATGCCTCCAGCACCCCCGGATCATTGGGGACTGCCCAGGCTCCTGGTGGTGCTGCCCCACTTAGGATCTTGGCACTAGGCCTTTGCCCTCTGTCCCTTTGCCATGAAGAGCATCCTTCAGAACTCACAGCCACCTGCTTGCTAATCTTGGGTAATGGATAAATGGTCACTTGATTGAAAAATCTCCCCAGCCTCAGGAACCTCAAGTTGCCACTGTGGACACAGCTCGCCCTTCAGTTTCCAGAATTCCTACTTCAACTCTAGACCCCAGCCACTTACTCATTGTGTGAACCTGAGTAAGTCAGATCACTTCACTGTTCCTGAGTTTCCGCATTTGTGGGAAAGAGGGTGATAATATTTGCCCCACTGAGTATATTCATTCATTCAGTAAATATCTATTGAGCACCTACTGTTTGTACTGGGTATACAACAGTGAACAAAAGAGATAAACATCCCTGCCTTATTGAAACTCACTGTCTCATGAGGATAGACAGAAGTCAAATAAATACATAAGATAATATCAAGGATGAAGAAAAGGAAGACAGGGCCACAGACAGGAAGAAAGTAGGGCAAGAGCTCCACAGTGCGTGTAGTCGTGGAAGGCTTCCAAGAGGAGGTGGTATTTGAAAGGAGACCTGAATGAGTGAAGGAGCAAGCGATGCAAGTGTGGAGTAAGAGCATTCCAGGCAGAAAGAACAGCAAATAACAAAGCCTTGAGGTGAGAACATGTTTGGTGTGTTTTAGAAATAACAAGGAAGCCAGTGTAGCTGGCAGGGAGTGTGTGAGGAGAGGAAGTTAGGACAGAGCAACTGTGTAAGGAATCGGGGTTTTATTCCAAGCATAGCAGGAGGAAACTTGAAGTTATTGACTGGGGAAGCCCTCCCATGTTGTGTGTCCTTGCATGAGAAAAGTGGGCGGGCACACTCTAAAGCCATCTTTCTGTTCATGACCCTGGTCTGGGTCCTTTCAGTGGAAAGTGTCCTTCCTCTTCTCCTTGGTGTCAAAAAGGGCTGCTGGTGGAAACAAGTTAGGCTGTAGTTCCCATAAAATGCCACCAGGTGACGACTCTAGGTTGTGTTTCTAACTTGTGGATTACTGATTCCAGAGCAGTGATTCCCAAACATCCTCAGATGGTCTAGAGGGCTTGTTAAAACACTGATGGCTGGACTCCACCTTCAGAATGTCTGGTCTGTAGTTCTGGGGTGGGGCCCAGGAATCGGCATTTCTAACAAGTTCCAGGTGATGTTGATACTGCTGGTTCTGGGACCCCACTGTAAAAATCTGTGGTTGGAGCCCTGTGGTAGAAACACAGGTGGGGTAACAAAAGTGTCTGACCAAAACACTCCAAATCTTCCCATCATATTTAGAGTTAAATCTAGGTCTTTTGCCAAATCCTCCCTCCAACCCTCCCATTTTTCAGGTCCTGCTTTCTTCCCTCATCTCATCTTCTGCCAGTTGCTAAACTGGCCACAATGTTCCTTGAAGCCTGACCTTGCATCAGGGCCTTTGCACATGCCTTTCCCCTAGCATTTCCATTGACTGGCACTCTCACTCCTCGTCTCAGCTTGAATGTCACCTCTTTGGGGAGGCGTCCTCGGCCCCTTTCTAAAGGTGGCAGCCCTGCTCGTGTCCATCTTGTTCTTTTCCTTTTTGGTGCTTGTGGTGATTTTTGATTATTTAGCCTCTATGTCAATTAACCAATCATCTGTCTCCTGTCTAGACTTTAGGCCCTCGAAGGCAGGGACTATGTCTGTCTTGTTTTCTGCTTTACCCCAAGTACCTAGGACAATGCTTGGCAGCAAGTAGGCCCCCAAAAAATAATGGTTGAATAAATGACAAGGTGAAGGGATTAAGCAAACAAACGAAAAAGCCTCATAGACACAGACAGCAGCATGGTGATCACCAGAGGGAAGAGGGTGGGGGGAGGTAGAAGAGGGTAAAGGGGGGATAAATGGTGACAGAAGGAGACTTGACTTGGGTGGTGAAAACATAGTACAATACACAGATGGTGTATTAGACAACTGTACGCTTGAAACGTATATAATTTTATTAACCAATGTTAGCGGGAGAGCAGGGACTCCATGGAAAGGAGACTTACGGATTGTGCGATGTGAGGCGTCACCTCACCCCACTCCCAGGCCTGATGCACAGAGTGCGTTGGGAGGACATGAAAATGAACAAGACCACGTTTGCAAAGAGTTCACTCTCTTTTGAGTGTTCCTAGCTCCCAGCCCACCACATTGCTGAGCATAGGGGCTGTTGCTCAGAGTTCTGGGTTGCTGGGCAGAGACACTACCCAAATAACAAGCTAACAAGCTGAGGGGCATGCAGCACTTTAAAACTTACAAAGTTCTTCTACCTCCATGATTGCATTGCATTTTCAGGTTGTAAAAAAGATCCCAGACTTGGAAATGAAACAAAAGGAGGACTGCACGGCCTTTGAGCGACATGCTGGAGCATTGTCCAACAGGCCCACTCAAGGTTAGTCAACTAATTCTCTAGGGGAACAGATCTTTGTTTGACTTGTCATTTCCTTATTTATTGGGGCTCAAACTCAGGGAAGTGATGTGCTCACTTGTAGATTTAAGTTGCAAGTCATTTTTTTCCAGTAGTAAAGATCACCCCAAAGGTTACACTTGTTTCGTCCTGTGGGACATTAACCAGCTTCAATTTGCAGACTCATTCCAGCATTCTGTCTTTCATTGGCTATAAACCTTTCAGATTCTCCTTAACACTTTGAAGCTGTTTCATTGGCCTGCTAACGAGTTAATGCCGGTGAGTCACATGTGATTTTGGTGTGTACTCACTTCTGATTGGTATGATAGCCATGTTTTTAACTTTTAGAAAATTAGCTTTTGGGACCAGCACCATCTTTGTGAGAGGGGCTGATCATCCCTGTTGTCCACATGAGCCTTATTGTCTCCACAGGCAAGAGTGGTAAAGCTGGGCCTTGACCCTTGGTTGGCCTGACCTCAGAGCCCCCAGTCCTTCGGTGATGCTACCTCCAAGTGCCCCACGCTGTTCTGGGCACTTTATAAACTCATCCAATTTAGTTCTCATGACTCACCACATGCAATGAAGTGTTACTCTTCCAATGTTACAGATGAGAAAACTTCGGAGAAGAGCTGGGAATGAAGTCACCCAATGTCACTGAACTCTTCTAAGGCTGATGTCAAGCATTTGTCATCAAACAGACCTGAGTTTCAACTCTGGCTTGCAGTCTCCCTGGCTGTGTGACCTCAGGCAAGTTGCTCACCTAATTTCTCTGAGCTGCATTTTAAGATGAGAATAAGAACCCATCCCATGGGGCAGCTGCTGGTAATGTTTACAGACAAATCTAGCCCCCCCCCCCCCC